CCGGGAGGTGGAGGTTGCAGTGAGCCAAGATCGTGCCACTGCACTCCAGCCTGGGAGACAGAGCAAGACTCTGTCTCAAAGCAAAGAAAAAAGAAAAGAAAAGAAAAAAATTAGCTGGGCATGGTGGCATGCACCTATAATCCCAGCTACTCAGGAGGCTCAGCAGGGGAATTGCTTGAACCCAGGAGGCGGAGAATGTAGTGAGCTGAGATGGCACCACTGCACTCCAGCCTGGGTGACAGAGCAAGACCCCATCTCAAAAAAATAAATAAAGCCTTAGAATCTATATCAATTGCCAAGATACAAATAGAAACACCAAAAAGACTTTGTGCTCATGGAGGTCAATCTAATAGGAAGCCTAGACATGTCAATAAATAACCTGCATATTATAATATGATAGAAGTATGCAGAACATACCAATATCAAGGATGACAAAGACTACAAAAAGCAAAAGAAGGCTTAAGAGAGGCAGTAATATTTTAGCTTGCTTAGTAGGCATTCAAAGAGGTAATAATAGTGTCAAATAAAGAAAAGCTGCAAATAGGAAAGTTATCAAAAAATAAATACATGTGGCATATTCAAGGAAGGGTACAGAAATCTAGGTATGGTTAGACAAGAAGCTGGAAATAAGATAGGACATTTTCTAACCTTCTAGGAATATGGTGAGACACAAAGATCTTAAGCAGAAAATTGGCAGATCATATTTATGGTTAACAAAGGAAGTGCTTATGATAGTAAAAATTTGTTAGAGATTACTGATATAGATGAGGGAAAAAGTGATGATCAGGGATTCTTAATCATTTTTGTGCCACAAACTCTTTGGACCATCTGGGGAAGCCTGAGGAATATTTCCCAGAATAATACTTACAAGGCATGGGGAAAAGACATATAATTAAAAAGAAAATGAACTATATTAAAGTACAGTATCAATATACTAAAAATAAAGTGTTATAGTAATGTATATAATCAATTAATACTAAAATATTATATAATAATAATAATTTCACAGTAGTGATGAGTAAAAACAATATTTTAAAATATATTCAATAATGCAAGACACTTCAAGATATATATTTCATATATAAAGTGATATGAGTATCTCTGCATTTTCTATTGGTAACAGTCTCACAAGTATGGTTAATATTTTTGTCATGTATTTTCCATGTTCATAATAAAAAGGAAATGCTTACTTTTGGTTAAAGGATAGTGAATATAAAGATGTAAATTTTCTTCCTATCCTGTTCATGGATCACAAGAACTCCTCAACTAGACAAAGTGGATGTTCGGGCAACAAGATAGGAAATGGAAGAGATATTTATAAAGAATATATTTCAAATAAATAAACATCCTCTGGAAAGTTAAAAAAAATTGGCAAATAGATAAAATAATCCTAACCTAAACTGGATTGGGTCCAAAGAGTAAAAAGGAAATACCCCTATATCAACTGTTATTTAACAGTTTCCTTTACTTGGCTAAAAAGAGCACAGACAAACAACGGTAATACCGCCAAAACATGATTCATTTTCAAGATGAATCCCTCCCTGTTCAATGGTTTACATTGTTTTTGACCAGCATCAGACTGTTTACCCACACAAACTGTAAATACATCATTTTTAGAACTAACCAACAACAATGCCCATTTTGTTATGACATGTAAGATACAAAAAAACATGAAGAAAAATGACCATCACTGTAAGGTCCATGCTTCAAAAATGAGAAAAACTACACAGAGAAATAGAGGGAAATAAAATTTTAACACGTGTTATCTATCAGGAGGAATAGGTTGTCTGAAATTCCTTGCTTTCCAAAGGAAATCTTAAGTACAGCAGCATAGTCAAACAGTGTAGATTCTCCTCTCTGAGATTTCTGCAAAAAACATGAGGAGAGACATGAAAGCAATAAAGCTCAGCGAAAACAGTATATTTTGACTTGGAAATCTAGTATTGCTCTTTAACTACTGTCCTTTTACAAATGACAAAATCCTTCATCGGAACTTTGCAACCTTCAGCAAAAGTATATTGAAAGATATTTATTCGCAGTCATTTAATATCTGTCTTTTCCCATGGAATAGAAGATCCATGAGGGTAGGAATGACCATAATCTTTTGTGCATATTATGCTCGAAGCCTAACACAGAAACCTCTTATGTGGTTTGCCAAATAAAGAAGCAAGAATAAGAACAAAAAAGAAGCTCAAGGGAATATTTTCTGAAGACATATAAGTGTAAGGATCACAAATTCTTCTTAATTTACTAATACATCTGTGGTTTCTCTTATTGACCTAGCTGCCCCATGTGTACAGTGAATCGCTTTGCCAAAAGATTTTGGTAAAATTTTATGTTAAGAAAAACATTTAACACAAAAAGAAAAGCCCCCAAAGAACCTATACTACATATCTACATAGAGAACACAATTTTAACACTAACACCAAAACATGTAACTAGTTAAGTCTGAAACAAAACGTCTTACAAATAGCTGAAAATATCAATATCTCACAGCTTTCTAAATTTTATTTTATAAAAATTCTATTTTTTTTAAATATAAGCATTGTTTTTTCAATTTTTATTTTATGTTCAGGGGGCACATGTGCAAGTTTGTTACATGGGTAAAACGGCATGTCGCTGAGGTTTGGTGTACAAATGATCTTGTCACACAGGTAGTGAGCATAGTACCCAACAGGTAGTTTTTCAACCTTCACCCCCTCCCACTCTCCTCCTCCGGGAGTCCCCAGTGTCTACTATTCCCATCTTTATGTCCATGTATACTCAATGTTTAGTTCCCAATGACCTTTTGCATCTAGGACTGATTCTAAAAACTTTCAACCTTAAATATCATGGGTCACTAGTTAAGTTAAATACACATGAATAACAATCATTCTCATTAAAAATAATAGAACAAAAGCATAAAGTACGATCTCAGGAGTAGAGAGGTCCCATTTTTTTGAGTTACAAAAGTCCCAAGGATAACATTTACCTATATTTTTTCCGTCTATCTTAAAGCTTCCTACAGTATGTATGTGTGTGTATATATACACACACACATCTGGAATTCATCAGATACTACAAAAGAATGTGTAATGTGGTCAGTATAGAAGCTGAAACAAATTAAGAAAGGTACATACTCAAAAGAATTACAAAGAAGTACTCAAATACGTGAACACACATATTCATAACAGCAGTATTCACAATAACCAAAAGGTAGAAACAACCCAAATGTACATCAGTGGATGAATGGATCAATTGTGTTATATTCCTACAATGGAATATAATTTACCCACAAAAAGGAATGAGGTGTTAATATATACTACAATGTGGATGAACTTCAAAAACATTATACTAAATGAAAGAAGGCAGAAACAAAAGGTCATATATTCTATAATTAAATTTATATAAAATACACAGAACAAGTAAATTTAACAATCTACAAAGCAGAGAGTGTTGTTTGCTAGGGGTTTAGGGGAAAGAAGAATGAGGAGTAAGTGCTTAAAGAATATGTGGTTTCCTTTTGGAGTGAGGAAAATGCTTTGTAAATAGAGGTTATGGTGGCACAACATTATGAATGTACCATCACGTTTACATGGCGAACATTATGTAAATTTCAGGTCAATTAATAAAATAACAATGACTTTCTGTGGTAACCATAATCTCTCTATATAAGATTCCCCAATCTTGAAAACCTAATATGGTCACCCATAAAGGGAAATCTGCAATGCTCCAGAAAAGCCAACGTTTTCTATCGTTCTAGTGAGAATGAAATGGTACAACCACTCCAGTGTTATTTATCAAGGTTAAGATTCATCTACGTTATGATCAAGAATTTCCACTCAAAAATTAGTACACATATTATCCCCAAACCTGAAACCATGCAATGTACATCAGCAGTAGTAGAAAGGATAAATAAATAGAAGTACAATGGAATAAATGAGAGCTGTAAATAAATGAACTAAACCTACCTGCAACAACAAAACTTAATCTCACAAATATGTTAAAGAAGCCAAAGATATCAAAATATACATACTCTATAATTTCATTTACATAAAATGAAAACAACAGTGTTTAAGGACACTTGCTTAGGAGTAGAACTATTTTAAAAAGTAAAGAAGTGGTTACCATAAAAATGAGAATTGTGGTTTAATGTTATGCAGAAGGTATGCAAAAGAGAGATTCCAATAATGTTCCATTTATTGATTGGGATGATGGTTACACAGCTACTTGCTCTAAGAAAAATTACTGAGATACACTATTTTTTGTTTTTCCTGTGACACACTAGCAGAAATCCCGCCAATCCCATTTTAAAATAAAATGCAGCCGGGCTCACGCCTGTAACCCCAGAACTTTGGGAGGCCGAGGTGGGCGGATCACAAGGTCAGGAGTTCAAGACCAGCCTCGCCAACATAGTGAAATCCCATCTCTACTAAAAATACAGAAAATCAGCCAGTCGTGGTGGCAGGCACCTGTAATCCCAGCTACTCAGGAGGCTGAGGCAGGAGAATCACTTGAACCTGGGAGGCAGAGGTTGCAGTTAGCCGAGATTGCGCCATTGCATTCCAGCCCAGGCTACAGGGCAAGACACCATTTCAAAAAAAAAAAAAGTAAATGGTGCTCTATCTAAAATACACATTACCCATGACTATTTCTTTCCAACAATAAATACTTCTTAATAAACTACAGTGTCCCATTGAACACAATGTTCTGAAAGAGATAAGCAAAAAGGAGGTTCAGTTCCCTGAAGTTATAAAAATAGTTCCAAGTTTTATATTCCATAAATATGATACCAAATATCCCTTATATATTGAAACAGGGAGTTAAAATAGCATGGTAAAGATCATCATTCCTATATAGGCTCCAATTTATTAAATGATTTAATAATTAAGAATTTCATATAAGCCTAAGATCTTCTTTTTACATGAACAGACTATAACAAGTTTAGTTTTACCCCAGATCTGTAAAAATAAGGACAAAGGGAAGGAAGATTCAAGACAACAGTGGAGACAGAAAATTACCATGCAAGGGTGACCCAGAAGGGCTGCTTGATAGACCTGGAACAGGGCTACAGCGACCTCCTTGCTTAGACGTCAGTTCTTGTTCAATCTCTTCCAGTCCAGCACTTTTCTGGAAACGGCTCATGCGATTCACTACTCGTGGTGACATATGTGTACGAACACAAGGCTGGCCACCATAAGGGTTGATGGGGAAAACGTGGGAAGTACCCCGGAGAGTACTGACCACAACCCAGCGACAGTCATGGCTGAAGCAGATGTCTTGTACCTAGAAATGAGATAAGAAAAGATACAAAAATGTCTCAAACTACTTGGATTTATCTAAGAGTATCGCACATCACCAAATATGAATATAAATGATTGCCTCATTATCAAATGTACCTAAGATCAGGTAATAAATAAAAATTTATTCTACAGATGAGTTTCACAATGACGGCTGACCAAAACTCCATTAGGTAGAATGTTATTTCAATAGTCAGGGATACAGGATCTTGAAGAGAGGTGAAATGAAAGAAATTAGGATCTTAAAACACTCAGTGCCCTTTGCCCCCCAACACACACACATAACTGATAACAATAATAACTCATGTATCTGCAGTGGCTCATGTATTTGCAAGTTTTTTCTATAAGAGGCCATATGGCCTTATAGGATGTAAAAGCTCTACTGTCTGTTGCAATTACTCAACTCTACTCTTGGACTGTCAAAGCAGTCATAGAACATATGTAAATGAATGAGTGCAGTTATGTTAAAAAAAACACACAAAACTTTATTTACAAAAACAAGTGGTGAGCCACAGACCTAAGCCAGGGAAAGTTAATTGGTAAGACACATCATACAGTGAATAAAGAATCTCCAGTATTTTTGAATTAGCAAATTGAATTTACTACCTTTACCTCAATATCAGTCAACTGGTGACAACTTGAGCAAAAATATCTCCATTTACTTATTTGAGAAAAAATTAAAGAACGCTAAGGAAAATTTGATACTGTTATAAGCATTTTTAAGCATAGCCTCTAACAGGAAAGCAGGTCACAGATACTTAAGTTTTCTACACTGACTAAATTAATTTTCCACCACCTAAAACAATTGTCAAATAGTGTTTTTAAAAATCCAGACAAGAGAAAAAGCACAGTAGAATAAAGATATTTGTGAATGAAACTTAACATGAAAAAATATATGGATACAGTGAAAGCAGTACCAAGAGGGAAGTTTATAGTTATAAGCACCTAAATAAAAAAAAAGGAAAACTTCAAATAAACAATCTAACAATGCATCTTAAAGAACTAGAAAAGCAAGAGGAACCCAAACCCAAAATTAGTAGAAGATAAATAATAAAAATCAAAGCAGAAATAAATAAAATTGAAATGAAGAATACAAAAGATTAACAAAATGATAAGTTGGTTTTTTGGAAAAATAAACAAAATTGACAAATCTTTAGCTGAACTAAGAAAAAAAGAGAGAAGATTCAAATAAATAAAATCAGAAATGAAAAAGGAGACATTATGACTGATACTACAGAAATTCAAAGGATCATTAGAGGCTACTATGAGCAATTATATGCCAATATGTTGGAAAATCTTGAAGAAATGGATAAATTCCCAGACACATACAACCTAACAAGATTGAACGATGAAAAAATCCAAAACCTGAACAAACCAGTAACAAGCAATGAGACTGAAGATGTAATAAGTCTCCCAGCAAAGAAAAACCCAGGACCAATGGCTTCACTGCTTAATTTTAGATGTTTTACCAAACATCTAAAGAAGAACTAATATCAATCCTACTCCAACTATTGAGAAGAATAGAGGAGGAAGGAATACTTTCAACCTCATTCTACAAAGCTAGTACTACTCTGATACCAAAACCAAACACATACATGAAAGAAAGAAAGAAAGAAAGAAAGAAAGAAAGAAAGAAAGAAGAAGAGAAGAAAGAAGAGGAAAGGAAGGAAGGAGAGGGAACAGGAAGGAAAGAAGGAAGGAAGGAAAGGAAAGTGAAGAAGAAGAAAGAAGGAAGGAAGAAGAAGGAAGAGGGAAGGAGGGAGGGAGGGAAAGAAGAGGAGAGGAGGGCGATACGCGGAAGGGAACAGGAGAGGAGGAGAGAAGAGAGGAAGGCGAGAAGAGGGGAGGGAAGGGAAAGAAACCTACAGGCCAATATCCCAGGTGAACACTAATGTAAAAATCCTCAACAAAATACTAGTAAACCAAATTCAACAACACATTAAAAAAAATCATTTATCACGACCAAGTGGAATTTATCCCAGGTATGCAAGGACAGCTCAACATACACAAATCAATGTGACATGCTATATCAAGAGAATAATGGATAAAAACCATATAATCATTTCAATTGATGCTGGAAATACATTTGATAAAAATTCAACATTACTTCATAATAAAAACTCTCAAAAAGTGAGTATAGAAGGAAAATACCTCCACACAAGAAAAGCCAGGTACAATAGACCCACAGCTAGCATCTTACTGAACAGGGAAAAACAGAAAGCCTTTCTGCCAAAATTTGGAACAAGACAAGGATGCCTACTTTTTTCACTCTTATTCAACAAAGTACTGGAAGTCCTAGCCAGAGCAATCAGACAGGAAATAAAAGGTATCCACATTGGAAAAGAAAAAGTCAAATGAGCCTAGTTTGCAGAACATATGATCTTATATTCAGAAAAACCTAAAGACTCCACCAAAAAAAACTATCAGAACTGATAAACAAATTCAGCCAGGTTGCAGGATACAAAATCAACATACAACAATCAGTAGCATTTCTACAGGCCAAATGTGAACAATCTGAAAAAGAAATTTACAAAGTAATCCCACTTACAATAGCTACAAATAAATAACTAGCAATTAACCAAAGAAGTGAAAGTTCTCTACAATGCAAACTGCAAAACACTGATAAAAAGTAACTGAAGGGGACACAAGAAAATGGAAAGATATTCCATGTTTATGGATTGGTAGAATCAATATTGTTAAAATGTCCATACTACCCTAAGCAATCTACAGATTGAATGCAATCCCTATCAAAATGCCAATGACATTCTTTACAGAAACAGAAAAAACAATCCTAAAATGTATACAGAGCCACAAAGGACTCGGAATAACCAAAGTGATCCTGAGGAAAAAGAAAAAAAAACAAAACAAAACAAAACAAAAAAAAACTGGAGGAATCACATTACCTGACTTTAAATTATACTACAGAGCTATAGTAACTGAAACAGCATGGTACTGGCATAAAAGCAGACACATAGACCAATGGAACAAAACAGAGAACCAAAAAACAAATCTACATACTACAGTGAACTTACTTTCAACAAAGATGTCAAGAACATATATTGGGGAAAACACAGTCTCTTCAATAATCAGTGCTGGGCAAACTGGATATACATATGCAGAAGAATAAAAATAGATCCCTATCTCTCGCCATACACATAAATAAAAATGGATTAAAAACTTAAATAAATCTAAGACCTCAAACTATGAAACTACTACAGGAAAACATTTTGGGAAACTCCTGAACATTGAACTGGGCTAAGATTTCTCGAGTATTACCCTACAAGCACAGACAGCCAAAGCAAAAATAGACAAATGGGATCACATCAAGTTAAAAAAGATTTTGAACAGCAAAGGAAACAATCAACAAAGTGATAACCCACAGATTAGGAGAAAATATTTGTAAACTGTCCATCTGACAAGAGATTAATAACTAGAAAATATAAAGAGCTCAAACAACTCAAAAGAAAAAACATCTAAAAATCCTATTTTAAAATGGGCAAAAGATATGAATAGATTTTCTCAAAAGACATACAAATGGCAAACAAGTATACGGGAAGGTGCTCAACATCAATAATCATTACAGAAATGAAAATCAAAACTACAATGAGATATCATCTCCCTCAAGTTTTAAAAAACGGCTTTTATCCAAAAAACAGGTAATAGCAAATGATGGCAAGGATGTGGAGAAAAGGGAACCCTCATACACTATTGGTGGGAATGTAAATTAATACAACCCACATGGAGAACAATTTGGAGGTTCCTGAAAAAACTACAACTAGAGCTACTGTATGATCCAGCAATCCCCCTGCTAGGTATATACCCCAAAGAAAGGAAATCAGTATATCAAAGAGATATCTGCACTCTCATGTTTATTGCAGCATTATTCACAATAGCCAAGATGTGGAAGCAACCCAAGGACCCATCAACAGATGAACGGATAAAGAAAATGTGGTATATATTGTGTATATACACAATGGAGTACTATTTGCCATAAAAAGAAAGAATAATGTCCTGTCACTTGCAACAACATGGACAGAACTGGAGGTTATTATATTAAGTGAAATAAGCCACTTGCAGAAAGACAAACTTTGCATGTTCTCACTTATTTGTGGGATTTAAAACTTAAAACAATGAACTCAGCCAGGCACGGTGGCTCATGCCTGTAATCCCAACACTTTGGGAGGCCGAGGCAGGCAGATCACTTGAGGTCAGGAGTTTAAGACCAGCCTGGTCAACATGGTGAAACCTCGTTTCTACTAAAAATACAAAAATTAGCCTGGTATGGTGGTGTGCGCCTGTAATTCCAGCTACTCCGGAGACTGAGGTGGGAGAAACTCTTGAACCCAGGAGGTGGAGGTTGCAGTGAGCTGAAATTGCGCCATTGCACTCCAGGCTAGGTAACAGAGCGAAACTCCCTCTCAATCAATCAATAAATAAAACAAAATAATGAACTCACGGAGATAGAGAGTAGAAGGATGTTTACCAGAGGCTGGAAAGGGTAGTGGAGGGAGGAGGGGGGAGTGGGGATGGCTAATGGGTACAAAAAATAGAAAAAAATGGATAATATCTGGTATTTGACAGTACAACAGGGTGACTGGAGTCAATAATTTAATTTTACATTTTTAAATAAAAAGAATGAATAAGACCTACTATTTGATAGCACAATAGGGTGACTACAGTCAATAATAACTTAATCATATATTTTAAAATAACTTAAAGAATATAATTGGGGCCAGGTGTGGTAGCTCACACCTATAATCCCAGAACTTTGGGAGGCCAAGATCAGGAGTTTGAGACCAGCCTGGCCAATGTGGTGAAACCCCATCTCTACTAAAAATACAAAAAATTAGCCGGGCATGGTGGCGCACGCCTGTACTTCCAGCTACTGGGGAGGCTGAGGCAGGAGAATCGCTTGAACTCTGGAGGCGGAGGTTGCAGTGAACTGAGATTATGCCACTACACCCCCGCCTGGGTGGCAAGAGTGAA